GGATCTTACAAACAAGGGGGTTGGTGGTGTGTATTGACTTTGAGAGTTAATGAGTTACGGGAGTCAGTAAAAATTGTAAAAGAGGAAGAGGAAAGTGAGTATATGTGTTTTAGGGCAAAAAGGAGTGCATACAGTTCTGTAGTAAGGACACTGGATTCAGGAGGAAGGGAATATTTGAAAGTACGAGTTGGGAATATTACTGCAAAACCAGCACCAGAGGTGGATTTGGAGCCATCAGTATATACGTGTATACTAGAGGAATGGGTGGAGACATGGTCAAGGAAATAGATGAGAAGGACAGCAGGAGGAATATTTGATTTTGGTGGGTCGGGGAAAACAGAAGAGCAAATATGGGGGTGAGGTATAAGCCATAGAGGGACGGAATGGACAGAGAACGGGAGAGGTTGGAGATGGGGGAAATGGGAATGGGAGAGGAGGGTATCCATGCGAGTGGAGAAAGGAGTAGGTAAGCGTGGAGATGAAGCTAAGGTAGGAAGTAGGGATTGTGGGATAGTTAGTTTAGTGAGGGGAAGTTGGTGGAAACGAACATAACATCAGAGTGAGAGCAGGGCACGACGTCGAGATAGAGATGGTATGCCTGATTCAGTATACAGGCTCTCAACTGGAGAGGAGCGGAAGGCGCCTAGTGCTAAGCGAAGACCACAGTGATGGATTGTGTGAAGATGGTCAAGGAGAGAAGTTGAGGCAGAGGAGTAGATATGGCATCCATAATCAAGAGTGGATAGGATCAAAGTAACATGCAGATGAAGTGTTTTGCGATCTGAGCCCCATGATATATGGGATAGAGTTTTTAAAATTCGAAGGCGGCAGAGAGCTTTTTCTTTAATATGTAGAATATGGTCTCGCCAGGTCAGTTTGGAGTCAAAAATGACGCCTAGGAATTTGCCAGAGGAACGGCATTGGAGTGGAGTGCCATATAAGAAGAGTGGGGGTAGGGGACCTACACGTGCGCGAGAGAAAAGGATGGAGAAAGATTTAGAGGTAGAAAAGCGGAAGCCATGGTTTGTGGCCCAGGAAGATACTGATGAGATTGCAGATTGAAGAAATTGGTAGAGATTTGGTATGGATGTGCCAGATGCATAGATGGTTAAATCATCAACATATAGTGATGACCGGGCTCCTGGTGGTAAAACTGAGACAATATCATTAACAGCTAGAAGGAATAAAGTGGTACTGAGCACACTGCCTTGTGGGACACCTTCGATTTGAGGAATGGTTAATGGTTAATGGTTAAAAGCAAGATAAATGTGCTAGACATCTAAGGTCATGTAGCACTATAGTTAATGTTAGTGAAGGGTGGTTGATTTAGTGATTAGTTGTCTAAGCTGGGCAAAGGAATTAGTGAGTGAAAGGGTTAAGGTCGGGTGTTATATTAGATAAAGGGTATGCATAAGAAAGGTTTCTTGAAGGCATACAATAGATGGGTTATAAGAGGAAAGGATATGATGGTCAGGTCTGTGGGAGCGGAAACCGCGAATATTCCAATGAAGGATAGTTATACTTTCGTTGAATTAGTGATATAGATTGTAGTACGCGTTGGAGAATTTGAAGGGGAAGCAGCTAGAGGGTGGGATAAGGACTGAGAGGTTTGAGATGAGAGAGGTGTGGGAGTTGGTGTTCTATCAGGAGGGGTATTAGGAGATGGAGGGTCTGAGGGAAGGGGATACTTGTGACATAAGGGATTCACGTGCGTATCCAGGAGGGAGTGGAAGGGATAGAGGGGATGGTGGGAGAGTTAATGTGGGCGGGGTTGGGGTCAGGGGGGATGGGCTGTGTTGGGAGGGGGTAGGAGGGTAGGGTGTAGGGGGGATATCGTTAGGAGGATGATGGATATCAGCAGTTACTTGGAGTGTGGAAGGAGCAGGGGTTGTAGGTTGAGTGTCAGTTTTCATTAAGTAATCTTGAATATTTTCAATAGTTTCTTCTGTGGAGTTGGTTTGGGGAGTTTTGGGGGATAAAGGATTTCTTGTGAGGGGGGAAGAGAGGACTGGTGTCTCAAGAGTACGGGCAAAAGATGGTGGGGGTGATTGTGTGGTAGGGGAAGTGGGGGTGGAACGTTTGTTCTGTCTGTTACGGGGAGTGCGAGGAGGGAGAGGGGAAGGTGTTGGGGTTGTAGTGGTTTCTGGATTTAGGATGGCAAAAGAGTTGGACTGGGGAAGGTAGGTGGGTTAGTGGGGGGGGGTTAGATGTAGGAGTTTTCTGGATTTAGGATGGCAAAAGAGTTTGACTGGGGAAGGTAGGTGGGGTTAGTGGGGGGGGGTTAGATGTAGGAGGGGTGGGTTTAGGAGAAGTGTTAGGATGAGCAGTATTACTGGAGTAAGGAGTAAGAGAGAATCCACGTCGACGTGCTTCCTGTCTGGCTTCACGCAGTGTGAGTCCGAGTTTGAATCTGAGAGTTGCTACCTCAGATTCAAATTTGTAGGTGGGACAGCCCTATAAAATACATTATGGGGGCCGCCACAGTTGGCACATGTGCGTGATTGTGCAGAGCAGTTAGATCGGGTATGGCCAGGTTGGGCACATAATGGGCATCTGGAACGGCAGTGTTTGGCTGGGTGTCCTAGACGCCAACAATTTTGGCACTGATGTGGAGCAGGTTGGTATGGACGAACAGGGAGGGATTCTCCTCTTATGTAGACGTTAAAGGGAAGGTCATGTCTACGGAAGGTAATTTTGGCTATGTTAGTGGGTTTCTTTCGATGATCTCTGGGGGGGATGGAGTAGCATTGTACTGATGTTGCATCGTAGTCTGTGAGACAGGCAAGTAGATCTTCTCCACAATCTGACCAATCTTGTCATAGATTGGGCAATTTGTTGGTGAGATTGAGACTGTTCCGGTGCAAGTATTGAGGGTTGGATGGGGTTCTGCTAGGATGGGGTTACCATATAGGTCAGTTAGTTTGTTAATGCTATGGCTTGGTTTTCGGATGTTACTGTGACAAGACGCGAGCGGTCGGGTCGGCTACGGAAAGAGACTTTACCTACTTGTTTTTGGAGGCATTGTTGGAAGAGAAGGGTGTTGTTAGAGTAGGGAGCTGTGGGAGGGATCACGAAAAATCGGTCCCATTTGGCTGCACTGAAGAGAGTATTCAAGATTGTTTTAGAGATAGGGGTGGTAGAAGGGCGAGGGCGTGACCGAAGATGGAGTAGTGTTGATGGAGGTAGTGTTATGGAGAGGTGGGCTATAAGGCTGTAAGGTATTAATAAGGGAGGATGGGGTGGTTGATGTTGGAGGTTGTGGGGGTAGAGGTGTTGAAGTTGGGCATGCTGGGAGAGTGGAAATGTCCCTTGAGGGTTGATTGTTGGCTACTGTACTAGTAGGCATTGGTGAAGGGGCAGTTATTGCAGTGTTCGGAGCCGTGGTCAAAGGAGAGCTGGGGTCGGGGAATCGGGTGGGTTTACTTCTTTGGGGCTATTTGATAAAGGGGCAAGCCTCATTGCCCCTAACAGTGGGGATATATTTTCATTACTGGCCATGGTAAGCCTGGATTATGTTGGGGATAAAAACTGTCCACCCCTCAGGGTCCCCTTGAGGGGTAAGGGCTAGATAACTAAAATCAGGGGAATACCGTGCCCATGGCTCCCTCAGGCCGTTCAGGACTGGCACAAAGTCAGCCTTTCAATCCTTTCAGCACGGCTCTCACACCTTAGGAGGTGGATAGCAGAAGGGTTTGGTGAAGGGACAGAAACAAAAATGGGAAGGGAAAAAAAGACCATGCATAATTAGTTGAATCGAGGGCTGAGTCCCAAGGTTGGGGAGTTCCCCATCATTGGGTCCCAGTCTCCGCCTCCTAAGCCCCCCCACGACAACAACGGGTAAGGGATTGGGGGGGGGGGGGGGGGGGGCAAGCACTGATAAGATTGGAGGATAATAGGTGGTAACAAAGATTTAACCCCTTGGTGCCGGGTATGACGTGTACCATACTTGCTAATGCCCACAGTGAGTACTTGTTTGCTTGTTTTTACTACATAGATGGGCAGCACTTGTACTAACTCCCCGTCTCGCCCGTTTACCCGTTTTGATTTACAAAAATATTTTACGTAATCTTATTTTGCCGTAACTAATGTTAAAAAAAATTATAAAAATTATGTTCGATAAAAATAACACCATCGATTTTCATAGCACTAGTGAAAAATACGTTTTTTCCCGCCATTTAAATCAGGCGCTAGAAGAGCCACCTATCAGCAGACATTTCACGAAAAACATAGAAAGGTGGGCACATTATTTTCCCCATTTTTGTTCATATTTTCCGGAACCATTGGGTTAATACATTAATTTACTATGCAACATGAGCATTTTGCCTGTTGTGCATTCGGCCAAACCTCACCAAACTGTTTGTGACCATTACTTTTGCTCAGCAAGTACCCGAGTACTATGCTCAGTGTTGTGGACGTAGCACCCTTGTTAGCCCCTTCCATAGATAGTGTTGCCTACGATTCATTTGTTGACCGTGACCAATGGACCAGATATGGTCTCGATGACCATTCATGGTTTTGTACAGGTTTCTATTTTTCTTGGTTTTGTACAGGTTTCTATTTTTCGTATCTAAAAAAACGAGGTTTACATTATTTTGCTCTAACTTGAATACAGTTTATCACATCCAATATCGTTTAATAAATTATTATTATAGTTATCAGTATGCCTATATGACGACCATGTAAATTATTTGTTATTCCCTTATCTCACCTTTACAGAATCAATAGAGGACAGTACTTAAAATTTCATGGTTGAAATATTTAAGAAAAATCCAGGTTCATAGAGCTTAATTGACATATTAGTCACTGCTCAAAATCTTTAGGACTCAGTTAAACATCATTATTATCGTGCATATTTTTATTTTTTTCCAGGTCATGTTAGCTTATGCAACAGTTCACTAATAATACAGTTTCAGTTGGTGGTATGGATTTATGAAGAAATATCTGACAAGGCTTTTACTTTACAAGTGAAATGTGGTATTGCTTTGATAAAGCTTACATTATTACTGTAGTTCCATTTCTTTAAGGCTATTTTGGTTTGCCCCTAATGTAATCCACAACAGGACTATGGGAATGTCGGTCGCCATGACCGTGGGATTGATCACCATAGTCTCCGTATGGCTCATAGTTAAAAGTATCCTCATATTCCCTATAAGTGCTACCATAACTATGGCTATCATATTCTTCATAGTATTCATAGTCGCCATAGTCGTTGTGCGGGGCGTGATGCCCTTGGGAGGGTCGCCATAGTCAATGTGCGGGGCGTGATGGCCCTTGGGAGGGTCGCCATAGTCACTGTGCGGGGCGTGATGGCCCTTGGGAGGGTCGCCATAGTCACTGTGCGGGGCGTGATGGCCATTGGGAGGGTCGCCATAGTCCACTGGGCGTGCGTGATGGCCTCTTGGGAGGGTCGCCATAGTCACTGATGCGGTGCGTGATGGCGGGGGGTGGGGGGGGGGGCCACTTGGGAGGTCGCCATAGTACGTGCCGGGCGGATGGCCCTTGGAAGAGGTCGCCATAGTCACTGTGCGGGGCGTGATGGCCCTTGGGGGGTCGCACATAGTCCCAACTGTGCGGTGGGCGTGAGGCCCTTGGGGAGGTCGCCATAGTCACTGTGCGGTGCGTGATGGCCTCTGGGGAGGGGTTCGCATAGTCACTGTGCGGGGCGTGATGGCCCTTGGGAGGGTCACCATAGTCACTGTGCGGGGCGTGATGGCCTGGGAGGGTCGCCATAGTCACTGGAGGGGCTGATGGCCCTTGGAGGGTCGCCATAGTCACTGTGCGGGCAGTATATCCAATCCGTGTGAACAGAGTCCTGTGTCCCTTGGGAACGGTGTGTATATGGGCGGTGGAGTATCATACCCTGTGGGGGGCCGTACCATAGCCGGAGGGTGGAAGGCTCTTCATACCCGGCAGGGGGCCGTTACCATAGCCGGAGGGCGGCGGGCTATCATTACCCGGCAGGGGGGCGTACATAGCCGGGGGGCGGCGGGGCTGTAATACCCGGCAGGGGGAGTAACATAGCAGGGGGCGGGAGGTGTCATACCCGGCGGGGGGCCGGTACCATAGCCGGGGGCGGCGGGCTGTCATCCCGGCAGGGGGGCGTACCATAGCGGAGGGTGGTCGGCTGTCATACCCAGAGGGGGGCGTACCATAGCCGGAGGGCGGTGGGCTGTCATACCCAGAGGGGGGGCGTACCATAGCCGAGGGCGGTGGGCTGTCATACCCAGAGGGGGGCGTACCATAGCCGGAGGGCGTGGGCTGTCATACCCAGAGGGGGGGCGTACCATAGCCGGAGGGCGGTGGGCTGTTCATACCCAGAGGGGGCGTACCATAGCCGGAGGGCGGCGGGCTGTCATACCAGAGGGGGGCGTACATAGCGGGAGGGCGCGGGCTGTCATACCCAGAGGGGGGCGTACATAGCCGCTGAGGGCGCGGGCTGTTCATACCCAGAGGGGGCGTACCATAGCGGAGGGCGGCGGGCTGTCATACCGAGGCAGGGCGTACAATAGCAGGATGGCGGCGGGGTTGTCCTACCAGAGGGGGCGTTACACATAGCCGGAGGGCGGGGGCGTCATACCCATGAGGGGGGCGTACCATAGCCGGAGGGCGGCGGGCTGTCATACCCAGAGGGGGCGTACCATAGCCGGAGGGCGGCGGGCTGTCATACCAGAGGGGGGCCGTACCATAGCCGCGAGGGCGGAGGGCTGTCATAACCAGAGGGGGGCGAGTTGCCATAGCCGGGCGAAGGGCTGTCATACCCAGAGAGGGGGCGTACATAGCGGGCGAAGGGCTGTCATACCCAGAGGGGGGGTACCATAGCGGGCGAAGGGTTGTCATACCCAGAGGGGGGTGCGTACATAAGCCGGGCGGAGGGCGTCATACCCAGAGGGGGCGTACCATAGCGGGCGGAGGGCCTGTCATTACCCCAGAGGGGGGGTACCATAGCCGGGCGGAGAGGCTGTCATCCCAGCAGGGGGGTCAGTTACCATAGCCGGGCGGAGGGGGCTGCCATACCAGAGGGGGGGTACATAAGCCGGGCGGACAGCTGCCATACCCAGAGGGGGCGCGTCGTACCATAGCGGGCGGCAGCTGTCATACCAGAGGGGGGGTACCATAGCGGCGGCAGGCTGTCATCCCAGAGGGGGGCGTAAAATAAGCCGGGCAGGCAGGCGTCATACCAGAGGGAGCGTTTACCATAGCGGGCGGCAGGTTTGTCATACCCAGAGGGGGGCGTACCATAGCACGGGCGGAAGGCTGTCATACCAGAGCGGGGCGTACCCTAGCCGGCGGCAGGCTGTCATTACCCAGAGGGGAGGCATGCCTATGTGGTGATACCATTGCCTTTAGGAGGAACATAAGTGTTAGGTCGAGGACGGAATAAAGTAGTTGCAAAATGACCACCCGCTGCCCAGTTTGATGGCGGGATGTTTGGGTGGTTTGTAATACTCAAAAAATTGTGACGTCGAGGCTTCATTGGGTTTGGGGTACCACTGTGTGGGTTGTCTGCAGGCCTTGCTGATGCCTTCTCTCCAATTACGGAGGTTAATGAATGGCAGGAAGTATCTACATCAACAAAAGCGGTGGCAGTCTGGGCTTGCACCCTTACACCCCATGACACCAATCCTGCAAAAGTTTAAATCATAAGGGTGATTCAAATGCCTGCCATTGACAATAATCAATTGTTTTAAGTTAATAATCAAGCAGTCTTGATAAATTTAATTACCTTTTATGCTGTATTGGCCTGAGGCGAATTTACCAAACAGCCGCTCCCACCATCTCGCCCTGTCCAATGACCATTGGGGAAAGGTTTATGGTTAAAAGTCTCAATCAACACTACACTCAAAGGTCATAACGTATAGGAAGTAAGCAGAAATGAAAAGGTATAGGGAGGGGGTAGGGCGAGTCAATTATTTAATGTTTTACCTCATCAAAAATCCACAGGACTTTTGGATATGGTTACTGAAAGGGTTAAGAGTTGGTAAATGGGGCAAGGCTAATGGCAAATGATGGTGATGACTAGACATCAGCAATATGAGCCATTTTTAAAATCCAAGAGACTTATTTAAAAAAGGTTACTAAATATACACAATAGAATGCCTAATAAGCCTAGAGTGTAATGCCCAATTTTGATTAAAATTAGAAAATTCATTTTATTTCTTTTATACATAGTCACATAGACTTGCCGGGCTGAGGGTCGTTGCCTTGATCCCTGTCAACTCCTACCTGCTTGCATGACACCCACACAAATGTGGAAAGACTGGTCATCCCGAGGACCCCAAACTTGCTATATCTACATCCACTGTTACTGACTGTACCAGCAGCTTTCCATAAAAGGTTCATTTCTCAAACTTTATTCATGACTGCCCCATACCACAAGTAAAGAAAGTTCCTCCAGTAAAGAAATGCAGATAAAGCTATGAGCCCAAATATTTAACAGGACTTTGTACCATTCCAGAGAGCATTTTGGTACATATACTGTTTACACCGGTCTTCATCTTTAATATGGGTGGACTTCTGAAGGACCCTTGCTTTGCTAGACACATCCTCACTGTCCACCAATGATACTGCTAGCATTACGTTGTCTATGCCTGGTCTGCAAGGAACATGACTGTATGAGCAAGCCAGGTTTAATTCAAGAAGCTTTTCGTGTTTAAATTTCTATTTGTTCCTTCAACTTCTCTTGACACCTTTCACTTACTTGATCATGTCTCATACCTGTCCTGGTAAAGTCAACAACTTCAATCCACCTTGCAACAGCACGACTCCCCACCATAGTAGGACCCCTCTCCCCCTAGCATGAGTCATCAATTGTCTTAATTGAGCCGTGCAACTGGTTAGTGGTGTGCCCCAATGACACTGTTTGGTTCCGACTGATAACTGATCAGCATAATTTAAGAGGCCTCCAATTTCTGACATAAGCACCTTACTTTGTTCACTTAGGGACACTGAGGACGAACATGTCGTCAAAGAAGAGGGAGATTTCTCCAAGGACGTCTGATAGGTTGGGTAGGCCGTTTCAAGGGAGGATAGAGGGGGGGGGGGGGGGGGCGGGGGGGGAAGCAGAGGTACAGGCATGCATCACAGTGTGGACAGGACAACAATGTGTGAACTGGAAGAGGGACATTATATAGGAAACATAGGGGTGATCAGAGTGACATCATTAGGAAGTGTTGGGGTGGGTGTAGCCAATTATGCAAGCAGGTAATTGCGTCTCCCAATGTATGTTCTAATGGAATGAGCCAACCAGGAGAAGACTGATAGTTTTAAGGATGTAATTTTATAAGAGAAGGTCTTAAAGTGGGGGTTTAATAATCCGCGCCTAAATACATGAAAACGTGTTTGGAGTACAATGTGACTGTGTAGCAGCATAGTGGGAGCTAGAGTATTGCCTGTTTCATTGCTGGGGATTCCAACACTGCTGGCACCCAGCAAAATCTGATAATTTTTTTATAGCGTGTGAAACGGTATAACAACCAGTTCTAAATCCTTAACGACGAAGGGTTGGTCCGAGTGCTTTTGACCGAGTGTTGATGAGTTTACGGGAGTCAGTAGAAATAGTGAAAAGGAAGAAGGGGGCAAGTATGGGGATTTTTAAGGCATACAGTAGTGCATAAGTCCTGTAGCAATAACCACTGGATTCAGGAGGGAGAGGGGTATTTGAACGGGGGAAGTAGAACATGGAAGTTTACTGTGAACCAGTACCCGATGTGGATTTTGATCCATCCATATAAACTAATACTGGAGGGATGAATGGAGATCATGGTCAAGGATTGGCGAGGACAAAATGGGGTACGACTGATTTTTGTGGTTAGGGAAAACAGGAGCAAATACGGGGGTGTAGTTAGTATTGCATCTACTATCTGACTGGTGTCTTATCTCTTTGTGGAGTGGGTGGGTGGAGTGTGTGTGTGTGTGTGTGTGTGTGTGTGTGTGTGTGTGTGTGGTGTGTGTGTGTGTGTGTTGTGTGTTGTGTGTGGTGTGTGTGTGTGTGTGTGTGTGTGCCCACAGGTATGGTTGGTTGCTGAAGGTGAAGTGGAGATCACGAGAGAACTGGCAGGCTCCCCAGTTCAATAAGGACTTGGCAGTCCTTGTGTTGATCTTACACCATCCTTCTATACCATTCCCCAACTACATTATCTCTCTTTCTACTTCCCTTGTCCTTGTCTATACTTGTGCATCAGAAAACCCCCTAAAGTCATACCTCCCTTGCAACCAGGGTCAGATGCATCAGTTATTTGCATCTTTCTTTCGTCGTCGGATTACACAACGAAGATAGATCCCAACCCCATGACTTGATTGCCTTTGAAAATCAATATCCAACTGCAGCCACCTATTTCTCATAGTTGGTGAATTTAACTGCTGCTGCAACTCTTTGGAGTGATACCGTCTCGCAACTCCCATGGCTGATCCCTAGAACCTTCCTCTCCACAACTAACCTTGTTCTAATCATCCTACACACTGACACAAATGCAATCATTTTCATGCATTAACCTTTCTAAGCCCACACTTCTCTTCCTTTTAGATTTCCATTGGTCCATTTCTAGATCATTTTCTCCGCGTTACTTACACCTTTCTCCATTTGCATGGATGAATACCCTCCTCCACCTCTTCTGTTTTTTCCGTCTATTCTGTCCTGTCCATGGCTTGTACCTTACCTCCCCTGTAGAAACACGACCAATTCCCCCTGAAGTTTCAGCTAGTTTCCCAGGTTGTTACGGGCCATGTCTGCCTTCAATGGACAGTGGGTTCCCCTAGTTCCCTGCACGTGCACACAGCGCACATCTAGTTGGGATGAGCTAGCTGCAGTGTGGATCCAGAACAGAATCTGTTTTCTGCTGGAGATCAGGAAGCAACAGGAAGTGGTACTAGAAGTGGGTTGGAGAAGGAAACTTAAGCAGAGAGGGGAAGAAGACCAGGCAAAATAGTCGATTCGAGGCTGAGGCCCAATGCAGGGTTGCTCCCTGCCTTGTGTCCTCGCCTAGTTTTTTTTATCAAACCAATGTAAAAAATACATTATGGGAGGCCACCACAATTATCGGATTCACAGAGCAGTTTGAACAATCATGGCCAGATGGACAAATGGTGGTAGGCTGTGGAGCACAGTGTTCATCAAAAGGTAGCCAAAATGCCAGCATTTTCTGTCACTGATGGGGGAGTGGTCAATGTGGGTCAATGGTGCAAGAACTGCCAACAAACTTCATGGGGAGGTCTGTCTACAGAAAATCTTAATACTGGTAACGGATTATGCTGACCTCAGAGGAATAGTCTTAGCCCACTGTTCTGAGGTGAATCTGACAGATGGGTTTTGCCAGCGAGTTCATGCATGGTTATATAAATGCTTGAGCTTGGGGACCTGGATGCAACTATTTTAAGTTACGAATGATTGAACCGGATCAGAAGGAAACTTGCCTATTCATTATTGGAGACCTTGTGTTTAGCTCTTCATAAATGTACAAAAGGAGGAAGCAGATCAACTAATGCAATCAACATTACTTCTTGCGTTATATCTAAATAAAATATAGGCAATATTTACACTATCTGCAAGAACTACTTATGACAAGATTAACAGGCAAGAATGTGGCTTCTATGGAGAAAAGGTCTTGTACACCCTCACCCACATCCCCTTATCCCTATAAAATCTTTACTTTCACTTCGAACCTTAGCAATTAATAGAGTTGAGCATGTCAGTGGTATGCCCACTAATCTTGCTCACTATTTCAGCAATCTAATTTACTTACACATTTGAATTTATATCACCATACTTCAATAAATATGCTCGAGGTAATACATTTTTTTTCTTTTACTTTCAGATTTTTGAGGTATTCATGCAATTTGCCTTCAAAATAGCAAGATAAAAGTTAGGGCATACCTAAATCACTTACTCAAACACATTTGGAATCCTTAGCTTGGCACCACAGTATACCCTCATGAAGTCTGAAGAAACTGCCCAGGGCCGGAGAAAGACTCAGGCGATACTGCAATCTTCACTTGTCAAAGTTGATATTTGGAATGACGGAGGATGGAGCTAAAAATCGTGGTGGGTTTGTAACATCCTGAAAAAAATGAAGAATGTATGTAAGGTATTTTCAGAGGTAGCCTCAGGATTATTGGCAATGTTATGAATGCCTGTTAAAAGATTCTCCTGATAATGTACCACAAATATTACAAATTTTCCAGGTATTCCAAAAACCTAAACCGCTCCACAAGATATGAAAATGGTAAGCTAACCTACTGTTCCATTGAAACTTTATCGCAGATTCA